TGTGTGTGTGTGTGTTTCCTTGACTATGCAAAGGCATTTGACTGTGTAGATCAGAACAAACTGTGGCTGACTCTGTGAAGAATGGGAATGCCAGAACACTTGACTAGGCTTATGTGAAACCTATACTTGGACCAGGAGGAAGTCATCAGAACAGAGCAAGGAAACACTTCATGGTTCAAAATATGGAAGGGTGTGCACCAAGGATATTTCCTGTCTCCCTACATTAAATCTATATGCAGAAAATATCATTCAGGAAGCTGGGATTTATGAGGAGGAATGTGGCATCATGATTGGAGGAAGATTCATCGACAACCTGTGTTATGCAGATGATACAACCCTCCTTGCTCAAACTGAGGAGGACCTGAAGTACTTGCTGCAGAAGGTCAAGGACTGCAGTCTTCAATATGGATTGAAGCTCAACATCAAGAAAACAAAGATTCTCACCACTGGGATGATTGGCAGCATTATGATGGATGGTGAAGATATTGAGATTGTTACAGTTATAGTATGCTTGGCTTTACAATCAACAGTCTTGAAACCAGCAGTCAGGAAATTAAAAGATGAATTGTATTGGGAAAGTCTGCTGTCAGAGACCCCTCCAGAGTACCTAAGAGCAACTATGTGAGTTTGGAGACTAAGGTGTGCCTGATACAGTCCGTGGTCATTTCAATTACTTTCTATGCATCAGAGAGCTGGACAATGACTAGGGATGGTAGAAGGAGAATTGATGCCTTTGAGCTGTACTGCCAGAGAAAAATATTGATCATACCATGGACGGCTGGGAGAACAAACATGTTTGTCCTGGAGATGGTGAAGTCAGGCTGCTACTTGGAGGCAAGGTTTCTGAAGTTTCGTCTGACATACTTTGGACATGGCACAGTCAGGATCAGTCTTTGGAGAGGGACAACATTTTTGGGAGGGTGGAAAGACAATGCAGGAGAGGAAGACCCTTGATAAGATGGATAGATTCAGTGACTGGGGTAATGGGAAGAGGCATTTCGGAGACAATAAGATTGGAATGGGATAGAGCACGGGTTAGGACTGCTGTACATAGGGTCACTTTAAGTTGTAGGTGACTTGATGGCACATAACAACAACCTGAAGTTTAGTACCATGTACTCTAGAACACAAACTGTGGTGTTTTGTTTTTTTGTTTTTGTTTTTTTTTTCCATTGCTCTGGGGAAACCTCTTGTCAGGAATATCTTTAAAATGCTAATGTCAGTTTCAAGACTGGGGTAAATCTTTTCTGAACCATGCTATTTTCAATTGCTTCCTGCACAGCCAAAAGTTGGACAATGGATAAGCATTATGTCTTTGAACTGTCATACTGGAGAAGAATACTAAATATACCATGTCCTGCCAAAAGAACAAATGAAACTATCTTGGATAAAATTCAACCAGACTGCTCCTTATAGACAAGGATGATGACACTTCATCTCTCATACTTTTGGTATGTTTTCAAAAGGGGCCAGTACTTGAAAAATGACATCATCCTGGAAAAGGTAGAGTGTCAGTGAAAGAGAAGAAGACACTCAATTAGATGGATTGACACAGAGACTATGTTGGTGGGCTTGAACATGATGGGGATCGTGAAAAGAGCACAGGATGGGGAAGGATTTCAGATCTGTTGTTCACAGTGTTGCTTAGATTAGTAGACTCAAGGGCACCTAACAACAACACAACACTTTATGGTATTATATTAAACCTAACATTTTCTCATTATGTAATCTAATTTGCATTATAGAGCTATTAATTACATAGTTATAAAATATTATTTCCAGTAATATAAGTGATGCTTATTTTGTTAATTTTAGAACTGATTTGCAGACCTGGTAGGATTAGTGATCAACATTAATCCAATGATAAGAACACAGTCTACATCAAGGGTAAGTTTCAATAAAAATGTTTTTCATTTTTGAATCAATAAAATATGCTCCGAAGTTATCTGAAATCCCACTAACAGGAGTCTCAGAAGGTTGATGATCTGTAAAATATTTTATAATTTAATTTTATTTAATAATTAGATAATCCATCATTATTTAATACAGTCAAACTTGAAATGATCATAAAGAATATTAATGACTAGGATTTTTCTTTGATTCTAATAATGAGTCAGGGCCTCTTTTCCTATATATTAATTTTCCTGGTTTTAAAAAAAACTGGAATGAATTTTTTAAAAGTCAATCCTATCTTTTTTGTGAGACTACTATCACTCTTTAAATTTATATAACAGTTCATATGTCCATAAGGCAAAAGAGGGTTTATATACTGATAAGCATTTAAATTGCAAACATACATCCAAAAATATTGTCCTATGATATTCCTGCTACCTACTAAAATATGTATCATCATACTGTGAAACTGAGTCTATTCATTTTCTTATTTTGTGATGCCACATTTTAAAGAAAGCCTGAGAAAGATGAACCATACACATATATTTGCAGAAGTTATAAATTATTTAGATATTATACAATATAGTTATGTTAACCAAAAATCCATTCAGGTTATCATATTTCTGACAGGCTTGTTGTTGTGTAGAGTTGGAACTGACCCATAGGTGACCCTCCAGGGGTTTTCATAGGCAGTTAATCACATGGAAGGAGATAGCTCATCCTTCTCCTGTAGAGCCACTGGTGGTCTCAAGCAATGTGACTTCAGGATTGCAGCTTCTTGACACGAGGCACCAAAGATCTTTATAAAAGTGTATAATCAAATCCCTTTTTTTGGTTTGCAAGATAACTCAATACTTTGCTTTATAATACACAAATATATATCTAGCTATAGAAATATATATCTAGCTATAGAAATAAGCACACGCTTTACAACATGCAATTGTAAAGTACACACTTTACAATATGCAATGTGGGCTCTGGCTTCAAGAGTCCTGATAGTTCTAATTAAAGGTGACAAACTCTGGTTCAATGATCCCTTTCTCTTTTTTTTGTTCAGAGCTGTGAAATCACCAGGATTGGGATCACTGAGTGTGGTAAATCATTAGATAAACTTCTCCCCACTACAGGTTTAGCAGCATAGCCAAGTAAAGTACAACTAAATCATTTTGGTCTCACCTTGCAAGACTTCCTGCAACCCCTCCCCTCTCCCATAGCCAACGCAAAGAATTATGCCTCTACCCACTGGGGAGTGTCATGGCCTATCCACCTATATCATTACAGCCAGGTAACAGGAGAGATTGACAAGTTACCTCACTGGGTGGTGGGTGATACAAACCTTAGTGGCCCCTCAGAGTCTGCCCACTACTGTTAAAGACCCTGGATTCATTTTGGTGCCACACCTCCCACTCGACTGTACCATTTCCTTTTCCCCCACTGAAAAGCAGGTATATTTTTTTAAAGAAAAATATACATATCTTTCTGTTTTTCAAATATCTATATTATTTTTAGGTGCTTTCAAGTAATTTCCAATTCACAATGATCTTATATGCAAATAAAAAAACAAAACAAAACACTGGCCAGCTTTTTGCCATTATCACTAACATTCTATGTTTGCTTTCATTGTTGAAGTCAGTAAGTTTACACATCTAATTATGAGTTTTCTAATCTTTGATTTTCTAGTTTGTCAAATATAATTTCCTAATGAAGAGATGGGTCCTTTTTTTGAATATTATTTTTATTTTTATTATTTTTGTGTGAGTGTACCGTCAAATCAGATCTGACTGGTACAGGAGGAAATTGCCCCTCCTTCCTCTGCAGAGCATCTGGTGGATTCGAACCGTGCGCCTCTGGGATTGTAGTTTCAGGTCATTGCCACTAGGCCACCAGAGCTCCCCTGAGATGGGTCCTTCTTGACAACATATTAAAAAATACTTGAGACAGGTTCTCGTCATCTCCACTTCTCAGGAACATGACTGGCTGTACTTTCAAGATAGATTGGTTCATTCTACCAATACAACTATTCAGACGCATCAGTGCTTCTTATTCATTGTCCACCTTTTCTATGTCTATGAAATGACTGACACATGTGTATCAGAGACACATTAATCTTTAAAGCAGCATCTTTGCTTGTTAATATTTTATAGAGGTTTTTCGAAATGACTTGCCTGAGTAAATATATCACTCCATTTCTTGACTACTGCTTCCATGGATCTTCATCATGGATCTAAGTAAAATTAAATCCTTTGTAACTGCAGTCTCTTTTTTTCTCCCCTATATAATGAGGTTGTTTATTCAGTTTTTCATCTCTTTATATTGAATTGTAATCTATATTAAAAGCTATAATCATTAAGCTTCATCACTAAGAGCTTTCAGGTACTCTTCACTTACAACAAACAGGGCTGGCTGTGCCATCTGCTTATTACAGGTCGTTAATGAGTCTTCCTCCAATTTTGATGCCACATTCTTCTGTATATAGTCAAGATTCTTGGATGATTTGCTCGATCTACAGTTTGAATACGTATGGCAAAAGGACGCATCTCTGATACATATTTTTGTTAATTTATAATCACACAGTAGTCTCTTGCTCTGTTCAAATATCTCTTTGTCTATGTACAGGTTTCCTATGTGCAAAATTAAGTGTTCTGGGATTCAAGTACACAGTTTTTATAATTGCAGAATATAAAATTAATCAGAGATTAATCACCAAGAGAAGTGTTAAGATAAGAAATACATGATGTGATTGTTGTAGAGTTTGCAGCACATGACCTTGCAAGGTCAACAACTCTTGTCCAAACATTGTTATCACTTACCAACTCTTCCTGAAGTTGGGAAATGAGTTCATCCCTTTCTTTCAGCTGCAGCTTGAGCATGGAACATTCATCCTTCATCATATCCTATAAAAACATCAAAGTGATCTCATGACAGGCTCAACACTTTCACTTTTCTCTCCATAATGAATAACAGCTTCAAAAAGGGAAGACACATTTTATTTGACTAATTCCATTTTTCTATATAGAAATAATTTTTCAAAATATACTTTTGAACTGTAACATAAGGTGTGACAAATGTTGATGTCTTAAATGATGACATATGACATAAGCTATGTGTGGTTTTTAAGACCTAACCTGTCACTGACCTTCCAGTGGCTTTCAGAGGCAGTAAATCACAGTTTCTCTAGTGCAACAGCTGGGAGTTTTGAACCTCATACCTTTCAATTTGTAGCACAATCAATCACAATTACTCATTCTTAAGCCTCTCTCCATATATGTGTACACACACACACACACACACACACACACACACACACACACACACTCCTAATACCAGTGTGGGGGTAATATATTTGTCTTTTCTGTTACCTAAAACAGAAATCAGGAAGTTAGAATTACCTTAAGGGTTTTTTTCCCTGAAGTTTCTATGCAAACAAAAATACATTCTAAGAATTAATTCTTTTTCTATCATGTATTCGCCTATGACAGTTAAATATTAATACTTAAAGCAATGGTCATGATACAGTCTTCAGCCTTTGTGACTTTAATTTTCTCACCCTGTATGGCCACTTAGCTATGTCCACTGTACACAGAACACCTTCACACTCATAGCCGTCACTAACTCAGACACAAATAATTAGTCCAGAGTTATTACCTGCCAAGATCCAACTCATAAAACCTCAGCATTAACCAGACATTGCAACTAAACATTCAGTTTAACAGCAGCCTTGTTGTCCATCCTAAAAATTATTTTTTTAATTACTGCTGTCATTTTCTTCTAATTTCTTAAAATAATAACTAGGAAACCATCCTGTGCTCTCAGTATTTAATTACTCTGAAACAAACATGACCAAATTATATAATCTCTTCTTCATACTTTAGGCATGTTGCTAGGAAGTGCTATTACTTGGAGTAGAATATGATGCTGAGAATGGTGAAGAGTCAGTTAAGGACAGGAAGACCCTCAATCAGGTGGATTGACATGGTGGATGTTGCAATGGGCTCTTGTGTGTCAGGAAGTGTGAGGATGGTACAGGATAGAACATGACTGAGAAATTTTGTTCCTAAGGATCGCTATTAGTCGTGTTTGACTTGACAACACCTAACAACAACAACAACAACAACATTCCTTATTGGCTAACTCCAGCCCTTTATGACTTCTTGAATTTCCACAGTAGTCTTAAAGCTCTATCTCTGTTCTGTCCCCTGTCAACTGTGCCATTTACAGTCTCAGAATCCCAGTGATGGGTCAGCTATGACTTGGTTCTACATCAAAAGCAATAGTTTGGTTTTTTTTCTTGAAACTCCATCTATCTTATCATTGACTGGGAGGCTGCCTGAAGAGGGCCTCAGCTGCCACCACCTTAGTCAGTATCTCAGGCATCTCAGAGATGATCCTGAATTCAGATGGAAAATTGAGGCAGAGTCTAAAAGTACACACTAATAACTGAAGGTGATAATCATACTCATCTCTAAATATCTCTTCCTTTGATAAGGATCATGCAGGATCAAGTAGTGTTTTATTCTGTTGTGACTAAGTGCTTTGATGAATCTAAATAACTTGGCAACACCTAACAATTATAGGGATTTTAAAGGATTTTTTTTGGTCCAAAAATTTTAAAAAATACCCACATTTTGCAACTTTACAATCAGTACTATTCAGATGATAGAATTTTGCTTGCTTAGAGAAAACTCAAGCTTACTGCTATTAAGTTGACATCCACTTCTGGCTGAATCTCTGATGAGTTTTCTGAGGCTATAAATTGCATTGAAGGAAACTGCCTGCTTTTCTTCTGTGGAGTTCTTGGTAGATTGGAAGCATGAGAGAGGTACAGTTGCCTTGGGACTAGGAGCAAACTCCCTATAGACTATGCTACATTAAATACTAATGAAGAAGAAAGACTACAGTATTCAAAATGTATTGTGTCATAACAGTAAAAACAAAACAAAACAAAAACTCTCAAATATCTCAAAATTGGACCAATAATCATGATAAATGGAAAAAAAAGATTGAAGATGCCAAGGATAAAACTTTACTTGGATCTACAACGAATTACTACAGTAGTTACATGGCAGAAGTCATATGGCATACTGCCTTGAAGACATACTTTGGGTAGGCTAACAGGAGGCTAGTCCCTGAAGAAAGACATCTTGCTTGATAGTCAGCAAAAAAGAAGGTTCTCAAGATTGACTGACAAAGTGGCTCTAAAAATGGCCTTGAGCACAGCAGGGACTGTAAGGGGTAGAACTGAGTCATGTTTCATTCTACTGTACACAAGGTCATATGAGTTAGAGACAATTCTACAACAATAATAACCTTGTATTAAGGAAAATCTCCAACAATTCCACTGCTGTCAATATGATTCTAACTTCTGGTAAACCTATTAGAGCATAACTGTACATAGGATTTATGATGCTATAAATTTTTGCATTAGGAAAATGTCTTATCTTTTCCTCCACTGAATGACTGGTGAGTTCAAGCAGGTTAACAGCCTTATACAAATATATGTACATATAAATATAAGGGGGAAGAATGGGCAATCTCCTCCTGTGTGATTAACTGCCTCTAAAAACCCACTGGTGGGTCAGTTCTAACTCAATGGTACACAGCAACAACATATAAAATACACATATAAACATTCATATATTTCTATAGACACAAACAACTAGATAAACATATATGTATGCAAATATATGTGCATATCAAGATATAACAAGAATCCCTGTGCCATAGTGGTTAAAGTGTTTGTCTGTTACCTTAAAGGTCAACTGTTTGAAACTACCAGCTCCTTCCTGGGACAAAGATGTGCATCTGCTTCCAAAAAGATTTATTGCCTTAGAAACGCTATGGGCTGGTTCTCATCTGTATTATAGATTCACTACAAGTCAGAGTCAACTCCATGGCAATGGACTTGGTTTTCAGTTTATAGTTCTACATGACATTAGTGATTTATTGCTTTAGAATTCTTACTTTCAATGTAGGAGACCTAGATTTGACTCTGAGCCAATGCACCTCATTCCCAGTCACATTGTCTTCTAGTAGCAAGAATTGCTGTAATTCTGAACAAGAGATGTTTTAGACTAAGGGATAGAGACTAGAAAAGTCGGGATATCTACTGTAAAAACAAAACAAAACACCACAACCCAAAACCCACTAAAATAAAACCTCATGAGTTAAAATAATTTCAGTCTTAACTTATCATAGTAACTGACTACAGGACTGATTAGACCTTATTTCGTTCCACTGTGCATGGAGGTGTCATGGATTGGGGCCAAATCAAGAGAGGTTAACAAAAACTACTGCGTAGTTACCATCAGTCATCTGATATTACTGTGGTTGACTGTTTTGTTTTGGGTTTTGTTTTTTGTTTGTTTGGTTGGTTTTTGTTTCTCTGATATTTTTTTTCTACGATGTTAGAAGCTATGCTACTTATCTTCCAAATCCTAGTGTAGTCTCCTCAGAACTTCCATACTAAAGCAGTGTAGATAAATAAAATAAAATAATTCAGTGGGAATTCTATGAATCACAACAGAATAAGGTCCAAAGTAATTAAGGAAAATGAGTTCTCTAGGCTTAAATACATGCAATATTGTACTCAAACATTTATATTATCATGAAGATGGAATGGTACAAAGTAAAACTGCTTTCTGTTGTACATGAGGTCACTATAAGGGATGTATCTCCATACCTTTTCAATCTATATGCAGAACAGATCATTCAAGAGGAGGACCTGAAGTTTTTGTTGCAGAAGATCAAGGACTGCAACCTTCAATATGGATTGAAGCTCAACAACAAGAAAACAAAGAATCTCACCATTGGGTGAAGAGATTGAGATAGTTAACAACTTTAGTTTGCTTGGCTCCACAATCAACACTCTTGGTACAAGCATCCAGGAAATCAAGGGACAAATTACATTAGGGAAGTCAGCTGTTAGTGACTTCTAAAGAGTACTGAAGACCAATGATATCAGTCTGGAGACTAAGATGCACCTGCTTAAGGCCATAGTCTTCACAATTTCTTGCTATGTGTCAGAGAGCTGGATAATGACTAGGGATGATAGAAAGATAATTGGTGCCTTTGAGCTGTGGTGAATCCAGCCTGCACCTGGGAAGCAAGGATTCTGAAGCTTTGTCTGACATTCTTTGGTCATGTTGCAAGGTGGGACTGGTCCTTGGAGAGGAACATCATGCTTGGGAGGATGGAGAGATGGAGAAAGAGAGGGAGACCGTTGATGAAATGGATTGATACGAGTGACTGGGGTAATGAGGATAGGTGTGTTGGAGACAGTAAAGTTGGTACAGGACAGAGCAGGTTTCAAGTCAGAGCTAACTTAACAGCTACTACTAATATACAGTATTTTTCTTTAATTTCTTTTTTATTATTTTTGTTAAATATTTATATTCAGAGCAATTTCAAATAGTTCACTTTAATTATATCATAATATTTCACATCAATTATAGCAGAAATATGTTCATTCCCCATGGTATATTCAATACTCTTCTCCAGCACCACAGCTCAAAGGCATCAATTATCCTTCTATATCCCTAGTCACTGTACAGCTTTCTGATGCATAGCAAGTAATTGCGAAGATCATGGCCTTCATAAGGCACACCTTAATCTCAAGACTGACATTGTTGCTCTTCAGTACTCTGGAAAAGTCCTTGACAGCCAACTTTCACAATGGAATTCATCCTTTGATTTCTTGACTACTGGTATCAGGAGTGTTGCTTTTGGAGTCAAGCAAACTAAAGTTGTTAACAATCTTAATCTTTTCACTGTCTATCATAATGCTGCCAATTGGTCTAATGGTGAGAATCTTTGTTTTCTTGATGTTGATTGAACTTCAATCCATATTGAAGGCTGCAGTCCTTGATCTTCTGCAGCAAGTGTTCCAGATCCTCCT